TTTCATCGTTACATTCTCAATCTCAGATAATATAATTGTTACAAGAGAATCCCTCATTAAGCAGCCTACACGTTCCACGCACACGTTCCCACTTTCTTACCCTCTGACGCATAACATTCATGCTCTCTGCATTCAACTTTCTTCCCTACTCTCTGGCCAGCCATCCTTCTTTTATTTAAAACGCTACATAGAAATATCTCTCTTCGTTCTGGGTCCCGCACAACTTTGTTTGTCTGTCGCAACCGTGACGATGGCTACCACGACGCGTGATCGTCATCGAAGGACGACGAGAATGCACTGCGAGCAAGAAAGTCAACCGTCTTTCCCCCGTCGAGAACCAAAGCGATTCCTGGATAGTCTGCCCCATCAGACGAATCGTTTCGCGATAACTTTCTTGCTGACAGCACACGCGTTGTCACGTAAAACGACCGGTTGAGGTTTGCCGCTCCTTGTCTCGTTTCGTCTTGTCTTTCTCTGGCATCAGTTCTCTGGATCGGTTGCGTGACGCCGCTTTTCCGCCTGTCGATCACGCGAGGCTTTTTCTCCACAGGGTGGAGAGAATCGCCGCCAGAGTATCATCGCGGCTACTAGGAACGTTTATCTTTTCGGTGAAACGTGAGAGAAGCGCGACTGAACGAGCGAACGAAACCTAGCCGACAGACTAGACACAGATCAGCAACGGAGCAACGTGGATGGGACGCCGTATCGTCACGTGTCTAATCGCGAGGTTATCGTAAATACGAAAATAATCAAGGATCGGACGATAGAAGTAGACGTTCTTCTTCGTTCTCTGTACAATCCGCTGCGACCCGCTGCAAAAGTTCGGCGCGCATGGAAAAAATGCCTAAAGCTATCGATAGAAAACGAGAACTGGAGGGAGAACGGGCGCGATACACGACGATACACGTAATCGGGTTAATTGTTTCACGGGTTTCCTCTTTCTTCCTTTCTAAGCTACTGATTGACATTAGGCATCGCGAACACTCGAAACGACGATCGTTCAGCTAGTGAAGAGCTTCTCGCGTGGCTACGTACGCGCGAACGTGCGATCCACGGCGATTCGCCGGTGCACGAATGCACGCAACGTTCGTAAAAAACGTGTCACGATTTCCGTCGACCGACCTCAGACCCGAACGTTCGGGCATCGTCAGCCTCGCTCTGTCGATTCCAACTCGATCGGTATGTGTGTGTGTGTGTGTGTGCCTTTGAACGTTCGTCGCGTGTGAAAGGGTGCAGTCGACGCTGTGCACGTGCGAATAATGAGTTTGCGGATAATATACGTGTACGCAATATATTTATTTCTCTCTGTGATCGCGTGACACACGCGTGCAAGAGTCAAAGCGTCGATGTCCGAGCCGTTTCGGAGAACCGGCGTCGTATCGTGGCGGTGAATAAACTCCCTGGACAATTTGCTGGCTGTTTATGTTCTTCCATTTCTCTTCTCTTTCTTTTCTTTTTTTTTTTTTTTTTTTTCTTTACACGGAACTTTATCATCGTTAAAATTTTCGACGCCATTTGCGACATACGGACGCATGATGGAGCTCAGCGGTAATTAGTTTGTTCAGCGAGGCGCGTTACGACGACGACGACGACGACGACAATGATAACAACGATGACGATAACGATTCGTTACACTGTTCCAACAGAATGAAGTTGTTAATCGTTCTTTCTTTTTTCTCTCTTTGTGTAGGCGTTAGCGTTATTGCACAACAACGATTGTGCGTACGATAATATATAATATTATTTATTGTGAGTGTGTCAAAGATCGGTAATGTAGCTCGGTAAATTTGCCTCGGTCTCTTCTTTCCCGTGGATTTAAAGGACGGTCGCGCTAGCATTTTATCGTATCGCCTTCACTTCAAAAACTGTGCAAACTTCTCTATAATTCGGCATAAAAAATAAACTTCCTATTACCTGTCTGTGTGAGTGTTAGTGTATCTGTACGCGCGTCTGTGTTTCTGCGTGTGTGTTCCATTCGCTTTGGGTATCTCTACGCGTGTCTCTTCTATATAATACGTGTGTTACGTGTTTTTCTTAATTCGTGTGGTCTGGTCATCCTCGTCTCGTTTCTTCTAATCTGTACACCCGAGAATACACATGTAAGTTATACATTTAAGCTCTCTATAGCTTGTTTGTCTTTTTTTTCTTTTTCCTTTTTCGTTTAATCTTCGAATGCCTCGTGGATATGCTACCTCAGTCATTCCGTCACTCACGCATCGTTCCTCTTTCATTCCTCCTCTGGACTTCCCTTAAATCCAGCGAATTTACTAAATTTAGCGCGATAAATTACCATCCCGTATGTACACAGATATTCGCTCTGTTCTGTCCCAAACCAGGTAGGATACCTGGTCTGTACCTTGAACGTGTACCTTTCGTGTCACGATCAAAAGATCCTAAAGACGGTGGACAACGCTGTTTTCGTTTCTCCGAAAGTCGTCCTGCCTCCAAGTTTCGTGGCGTTGATCCACGAGCTTTTCAAGTCTTTCCCCTTCGACGATATATATATATATATTTTTTTTTTTTTAATCTTTTTGTCGGACACTGCGCGTAACATACATAACATCATATCGACACACGTAAGCGTAGTCCACTATAGCTGTGTTTAATTAGTATAGCACTCTGCAGAATTCACGATTCAGTCGTTAACGTAAGAATACGATCCTTTGTTTTTCCTCTTTCATTTCTCGTCTTTTTCGTTCTTCTTTTTGCCGTTCTTCCTCGTCGAGAGTCGACGTAACCTGCGGCCATAGAGCATCCTCTTAAGGATTGCTCTCCCAACGGGCCAGTTGAATACGCCTGTTGTCCAGGGAAGGCGAAAGGAGTGACCTGAGCGACGCGCTTGGCGGCGATCCGCTGAAGTACTTCAAGGTCAGGGGCGACTGCAGATGTCTGTGTCTGATCACTTCTCGCTCAGCAGGCAGCGGCCACAGTTCCTGCGAAGGAACGAGCGAAGATATCAGCTACAACACAGTGTTCTATGATTGGCGATCGTATCGTTCATCGATCGTGAAAAAAATGCATGTACTTGGTTATTTCCTTGTTTTTTTCCTTCGTTCTTTTTCTTTTTTTTTTTTTTAGACAATCATGGACGATTATTTACCTGCAGCGAGAGAGCCTCGTCTCAGGACTCACCCTGCTTGCTCCTACGTCCAGTCAGTGAGCCGACCAGAGATTTCAAGGTGGCGCCGAGACCCTTCCCGCTCGGAGTGTTCAAGCTGCTGGCGTTTCTAAAGCCTTGCGGATGTGCGTCTAAGCATTTCTGGTACCTCAGCTACACAGAATCAATCAATCGAGCGTAGAATGTAGCCGACAACATGTTTGAAATATGTTTTTGAATACACATCGATTGAGAATTCATTTGAACGAGTTAGTCACCTTGCAGGCAGCTTCGATGGTTTTGCACAGGGCCCCGCTGCTAGGCTCGCAGTTGAAGACGTGTGCGATAAAGAGATCCTGCGCGGTGTGCATTATGAAGGCGCACTGTTTCACGTTGCGACCGATACCGAGGAACGACAGATAACGTACGCGGCACTCGGTGATGAGTTTCTCCTCCTGAAACACGTGCCACTATTTCCGTCTGCCCCCTGTTAAAAACGCGATCTTGTCGATCCACTTACGTTCGGCGTTAGGATGGAGATCATACTGGGCGCGACTGCAACGTTCACGTTCCGCCACTGATTGATCGGCGTGTTAGCCACAATGTGATCTATCGCGTCGTTCAGCACCTCCATTCCAGTTGCTTGAGAAACTTGCATCGATCCGAGATATTGTGCCCGCAGCACTTTCTTCGGCTCTTCCATCGGCGTTGGGAACGATTGCGCTGAAAACCGGTCGACTCGTAGTTTTTTACACGCTATTACTTGCAAACAGGCTGATCTTGCGATCTTCTCGAAAATTTTCGTCGAGTCTACTTACTGACTAGCGCTTGTCCGTTTCTGTGGAAACGCCGGTGTTCCGTCGGCAGATTAGTCGGCCTAGTGGCCAGGCTCGTTCGCCCGTTGATGTCCACCGGTTTCGCGAGGTTCTGGTGTTGCGATCGCTCGATCATGATCTTCTTGCAAATGTCGCGCAGCGTGTTGGCGATCGTGCGCGCCGGGATGTCGCAACGGAACACGTGGCACATGTGTTTCCGGGTCGATCTGTCTCTTGCCACGTAAGCAAAGTCCCTGCAAGGCGAACAGTTTTTTTTTTTTTTAGATCGGATCGATAAACTGGTTTAATAAACTGACGAAAGAATCGAAATGTCTTGCTTGCTGTGAACGCAGCTTCTTACCTTTCACTGTCAGGCGAAGACGGATCGGCCGGATGAGAGGTCAGCGATTCACATGAAACGCGATTCACACAAATGTGTCATTTAGACGATTAAAATTTCTTCGAGTATTTGTTAACGTTCACTTACCGGCAGTGGTCTCTGCCAACACCCCACACCCTCACCGTATGAATCGGCTGTGTGTTGAGTACGGTAAGGTTCTCCGGGTCTATCAATTTCAGAGCACCTTCGTCCAGATCCATAAATAGATCCTTGCCCTGGGGATTAGATTAGAAAATCACGCGTTAATACGCTGTCTCGGCTCTTTCGTTCATCTCACGAAGAAGATCGAATTCACGATTGATACTAACGTCGCCCCATCGTCCAACCACGTCGAGAAGATCGTTTCTACCAAGAGACAAGTCTACGATACACTTATTGACAGCCTTGCTGCTTCTTTCAGGCGTCAGATCCTCCTCGGCGATTTCCGTCCATCCGAGAGAACGTACGGCGAATCTGATAGGTTTGTCCCTGCCCTCGGAGTCCGCTCGTGCCGGATAGCTCCTTCGTCTGAAAGGCGAAAAATACAGGATAAAGCGGGCTACTATGTCGAATAAAAGCTGGCAAACAAGTATCGATGATATCTCACTTGAGAGCCAGTTCCACTTTCCTCTTGTTTTCCAGCTCCTGATCCAGGGCCGAGCTTGTGTTACTGCGGGTAACGGTGTTCACCATGCCGCTTAGAGTGTGGAAATTGTTTATCTGTAATCACGGATAACAACAAATTATAACAGAATCGTCTCGAAATTGATTTTTTTTTTTTTTTTTTTTTTTTGGAAGATATTTTCAACGCTTCTACTCACGCTATCGTTGTCCTTGATCAGACTCCTGCGTGATTCCCTCTTGGAGTGCAGAGGCGCCTCTGGAGGCTCTCTTTGTATATTTCCGCTTTTAACGTGCCAATAATAGGGCCCATTCTCGTCTGGAAGAAAATTCGAATAAGTTTGCAAACTGTGTGTCACCGACTGAAAAAGATTCGTTTCTGATATGAAAATATGAGCGTCTTCGAATTGATTCGAAACACAGTTTTGCACTAACTGTTCTTTAAAACGTGTATCGTGGAACTTATTCCTGTACAGAATTAGTTGTGTTATTTCGAAAAGGAATTCAGTTCAATTACAAAGTAGATATCGATCGACTGTAAGGTAAGGCAATCTTTCTTCGCTATATTTAATGCCAGAAATAAGAAATAATATTTCCCAGCCATGAATCGAAAGAGTAGAAGATTCATATCATTGGAAGAGTAATCAGAAATTCTTGATCGGTTGAAATCTAGCGATAAGTTAACATCTCTTTGCGAGAAATTTAAGACAGAAATGAATCAACAATTCGCACAATTAGGAGACGTGAAAAGTAAAATAAGAGCTAGAGCTTCTGCCGGAGTATCATCGATATTAAAGATCTTTTATTAACAAAAACAGAAAACTGCAATAGGAAGAATATTCCTTTGAATACTTATTTAACCCTTTCAGTACGAGCGCCGGATATATCCGGCATCTATTAGATGACCTGTGTGTACTTATATAATTCTAGTGTTACTTATATAATTAACAGAATTTAATATAAATGTCTTTTAAAATTAAAACTAACGACATTTGTCAGAAGAAACATTGTTTTATTAAGCACAGTTCTTATTTAACGCTAAGGAAAATTATTATACACAAGAGAAGTATGTGTGCATTTGCGGAGCGGGAGTATAGAGCGCTCGTACCGAAAGGGTTAAAGAAAGACAATTTATTTCGTTTTTTGCGTTTTTAGATCTCGCGTTATAAAGAGGGTGTTGCTGTACGCACGAATACGTGTATTTGTAGGCTGGTGTTTTATAGATAGACTCACCCTCGTGTTTCTGCCATCCAGGTGGCAGATTCTCATCTTTGTCCTCGGAATCGGCGGTGTCCACCTCCGCCGGCTTCTCCTGGCTGTTATTCTGCAGGGCAGCGTTGTTCTTTTGATCCTTGGGCTGTCTCCGTTTCACAGGGACGGCGTACAGCTCGCTGTTCAGTCCACCATCCACGTGCGGAACGCCACCCATCTCTGTCGTTTCGTTATCCGCTTTCTCGCAATAGCTGTAACGCCAGTTCCATCCACGTGTTATCCCACGATTGCTCGCACTGTACGTTCTACGTTCAGTATTCTCTGTGCAATTCTAATCGCTCCCTCTAATTACGGGAATGTCACTTTGACAGGTACAGAACGCAACGAAAGCGAAAAGGCCGCAGCAGGCCTCCGAAGCAACGATGCTAATTTCAACGTCGCCCAACTTCGACGTCGCCCCCTCGAGTAATTCCATTCATCGCGTACGCGCGTGCACTCTGCTCGTTCGCGAAAGCAGATTCGTCGTAGCGTGACTCGACATCAAGGAAGGAAACGACAGCGAAGAAACTTGGGAAGGATCGGTCTTGTTTAACGTTTATTTATTACGCGCCAGTTTCGCGTTACGATCAATTGAAATCGGCGTGATTGACCGTAGAGTAGCTCGAGTTCGACGACGATGAATCGCATTCGCATCGATGATTGCACGCGTCGTCGGTGACGTTGCTTAATTGGATCAAGTGAGAATAGAAATTACGTATTCCGCGAAACGAGAGAACCGACGCAACAGCAGATCTCGATCGATCGCGAGGATCCTCACGAAGATCTTCGTTCGCGTTGGATTCGATTCCCTCGGTATTTCGCAACGATGCACGACGAGATGCATAAACCGATGCATGCACGGATGAACGAAAAGATGCATGCTAAGATAAAAGTATGATAAAAGCGACAGTGAAACGCAGCTTCCTCCCTCGAGGAGAAGTTGATTCCAATGGAATAGAATCTATTCATCAGCCGTGACTGGCGCGGCCGAAAGATCGACGCGTACCCGGGGAAAAGTTGCTTTTACTTTCTAATGCCGGCGCGGCAGAATATTTACTCTGTTCCTCTCCTCTTCCCGACGAAGCTCGCGCGTTTCTCTTTCCTCCGGTGGGAAGAGTGCCGACTTCCTTCGCCGGCCGCGAATTTTCTTCCCTATCAATCGGACAGAATATTCTCTTTTTTCCCCCTCTCTTTTGCCTTTCCTTTCCCTTCCTTTTCCTTCCGTCGGAAGTCTGAAAGTCGACTTCGATTCGCGATTTCCGCTCTCGAACGTTCGTAACCGTAACGCTTGCTTCTCTCTCGAGTTCGAAACCGTTACTTAAAAAAAAAAAAAAAAAAGAAAAAGAAAAAGAAATGGGCGAAATCGATCGCAGCAAGGCAGATAGGCACGAGTCGTCTCGAATACTCGATTGATCACGCGTTCCACGGTTTCCGAACCTGCGCGATGTACGTAGCATGCAACGCCGGACAGCGACTGCAGCCAACAACTTTACGACACTGCGGAATATACAGGGGGGGGGGCAAGAGGAGGGGCTTTGGACGGAGCAGGATGTTGATACACAAAGGTAAGCAACAACAAATTCGGGCTCGAGTTTCCTACGAGGAGTGTAGCGAGGAACATCGTCGCCTACGAAAGCTCGCGACTGGACAGGTGAAAAATCGCGCGTCGCGATTGCTCGCGAGTGTGCTGGGAGACAAGTGTTAACTGCTAGCGGCTACTCGTTTCAAGGATACGTAATGTATGCAGTATGACAAGTAGTAGCAGCGGAGCAGCCAGCGATAATATAGTAAATATAACAACAATAACAACAATAATTAATAACGTGTGTGTGTGTGTGTGTGTGTG